GAAGCGACGCCTGAAAATCGGCTCTTTAACCCTACGATTTCTTAAACTTATTTTAGTTAAGAAAGCCAAATTAGTTTATTTAAACCCAAACCCAAGTGATCGAGTTCTATATATGGAAATTAATTTAATCGTTCCAATCAAATCCAATCATTGATCCCATTAAATCAGCTCAAATCACTCCAATCATCCAAACTAAAAGCCAGTTAAATCAACAAATCATCCAAACTAAAGCAGTTAAATCAAATAAATAAAAGACCCGCTCTTGCCTTATGGTTCAAGGCGGGTTACAAACCGAACCTAAAAATACAATCTACCCGAATAAAAATTTGAACCCAAAAACCCCAAAATCATGCATAATCACATTTTTAATATTTTAAACTTAATCAAATTACAATCTGTTCATAATTGGTGATCTTCAGATTTATTGGAAAAATTAAATTTTATTTTGTACAAAAATTATTTTTTTTTTTTGAAAGAATAAAAATTGTTTCTGGAACCCTAGAACAGTTGAGTCATGCAGCTGTTCTTTGGAAGAACAGTCGCGTGACGAAGCCGGTAGCTGCGTGACGCAGTTGTTCATAGTTCGAGAAACAGAGTACTGGGTATGAAAAATAATATTTTTGGATATGAACAGTTCTGTCACGCATCTTCCAGATCCGTTACGGATCCAGTAGTTGTGTGACGCAACTGTTCTGGGTAAAGATACAAAATTTTGGACATGAACAGTTCCATCATGCATCTTGCCAGATCCGTACGGATTACTGGCTGCGTTGACGCAACTGCTCTTTGGTCGAGCTCTGTTTTTTAAAATTTATTTGTCTTAAAGCGTTTTTTTTATTTAAATATATTTAGGACAACCTCGCATGACCAAAAATGAAAGGATATAATTTAATTAAGATTAAATACTAAAAAGAACAGCGATAAAATAAATAAATCAGATGAACAAAAACACAAAAATGTAAAGGGAATTACTAATCCTCAGATTGAGGATTGTATCCTCAGATTGAGGATTGTAAACAGCTTTGATGCCTTAACAAACGACGGTTAAGACGCTCCAGAAACTTCGTCAACAAGGATTTAAATATTCGCTCTTTTCTCTCTTAATTTTCTCTCTATTTTTCTAGTTTGATTCACCTAAAATTAATATCTAATGGCAATTCTCCTTCAAACGAACTCAAAAGAGCTTCTGGAGGAGAATGTGGTCGCAGGGCGTATTTTTTAGGGTTTCAGAATCGTTCTCTCCCGTTGTCTCAAACGTGAGAAAAAGATCTATTTATAGAAGTAGGGCAACAGAGCATAGTTGTGTGACGCAGCTTACTTGTTGTACCGGAGCTACATGTCGTTTAATACAAAAACATCATGTAGGCTATCATAGCTGCGTGACGCAGCTATGACCCAGTCAAAGACTTAACATCATCTCTCTCTCTCTCTCTTTTTTCAATTTAAATCCTTGGATTAAAAGACTTCTAGATAGCATTAACCATCTCTCTCTCTCTCTCTTTTTTCAATTTAAATCCTTGGATTAAAAGACTTCTAGATAGCATTAACCCATTCATATTACATCCTCGTATCATCATTGGATCAGGCAGGGGCATAAAGACACGCGTCAACAGGGAGTGTAGGTTTCACAGTGCAGAGGGCCACCTTTATGGTACCACAAGGGCTCCATATGGTACTACAAAGCCCCTAAACAGTATCATTTAGATGTGCCAAGTGGTACCCAAATAGTACCTTATGGGGCCCAAATGGTACCACATATGGGTCCTATGGTACCACAAACAGAAGTGGTCCTGTAGCAACCTTCTCACCGATTTGCACATTGTTTTGCTTCCAGAGGTCTAATCAAGGCCCAAATGATGTCTAATTGAGCTTATTCTTGATTCGTGGGAATAGTGACAGAATTTCCTTTGACTCGATACTAAAATTAAAGTTAATAGAAACTCACTTACATATCATTATCATTAACATATGGTGACAACATCATCTTCTTCTACTATTGGCGTGTTTCCATTTCTAATTCTTTTGGTGCTTCAACTGAATTAACTCGTTCATCTTCTAGTGGCTTGTGCAGAAGCTATTTAAGAAAATAACTTAACACGAGCTACACCATCCTTGGCTTTCCTGATCCCTTGGCTTTGCTCTGTATATTAAGATTTATTTGATACATTTACAAATATGACAACTTAAAACTTTAAATGTCTTCCTTCCCAATTTTAGAGTTTGTGAATATTCTAAACAAAAATATCTTCTCTTTATTTTTTTTTCCTTTTCCAAACTCTATATATTAGCATTGCACTTTTTTAAAGGCCAAATACATAAATTGCCTCCTGAACTTTAAAAAAAAAAAAAGCATGTGCACCCTCAACTTCGCGAGGGACCAGTTATGCATCTAAAGTTCAAATTTTTATACCAATTTAGCACCTCTCTGAGCAGTCTTAAGTGCGTGAATGACACAAGTGCTTACTAGGATAAAGTAATTGAAAATGGGGCCCATTTTAATTGCCACATTGGCAATTTTGGAGAAAATATTTTGTTGAAAAAGGACTCTTCATCTTTATCCATATCCAGGTCGCAACGGGCATAATCAAATGGCAGATTAACAAGGACTATACAGGCATAATCTCATAATCTTCTCTTCAAATTCGAGTAAGCAACTGTCATAATCTTTGCTATACGGCTTTGTTCGTGGAAGCCATTTTTGATGGTGTAGAGAAACAAATGTAAAGTCTTGATAATAGATTATGATCCTCTAATTAGTCATATTTTGATTTCAAAAATATCTCAAGTGTCATGAAAGTTTTTTGCTTGTCATGTTTGCTCTTTTATTAACATTATTGTATTGGAATTGTATTTCTCATTGTGGGTTGTTTAGAATTAGTTCAAATTTCATGTTTTCTTTGTGCTTTGTTCAACTAATAGTAATATACTGAATTTGAAGTTTTGAGTTCTTAAAAGAGGAGATGGATTTTAAAGCTGTCCATTTTTGTATTTTAAGTGATTTTATTGTGGCATTTTTTGACCTTGCTATTGCTTGTATCTTGACATATTGGTTGGCTTTTGCATTTGCTCCATTGAAGTTATTGAGTTTCTTTGGTCTTTATATGACATTCTATACGGGGTTTTTTGGTACGAAAATAATGATTTGTGCTTGTAATTTGCAAAAGAGTTAACATAAATAAATTCCCTTGTGATATCATTTTGTTTGATCATAAATACTGCAATTTGCATGTGAAAGTTTGGTGGTGACAAATGGTGATGATGATGATTGTTTAGGATTTGTAATTGTAACTATGGAGGAGGTGGTGGCGATAGTAATGAGAGTGGCAGCGTGAGATGGATTCTATGGGGAGAATTGGTAGTGGTGCATTAGGGAGCACGGCCATATCGAACTGGTGGTGGTTTTTACTTCTGAGATGTTAATGGCGTTTGGGTTTTTATTTTGTGTAGGCAAGAGTGAGGTTTATTAAAAGGTTTGATGTTATGATTAACAAAATTTTTTCTACATTTGCGTTTATATTTTGACTTCACGCTCTAATTTGCAATTGTATCCACACTCTCATCTGCCAGCGTGGAGAGGTACTAAATTGGTATAAAAATTTGAATTTCAGGTGTATAATTGGTCCTCGCACAATTGAGGGTGCCTTAGGATTTTTTTTTTTTTGAAAAGTTCAAGAAGCACAAACAACTTGAAATGGCATGAGTTTTGCCATTCTAAGGCTAATTTTTAAACATTCCGGTAACAATTATTTGATTATAGACAAATTTACTTAAAAATAAATTAATAGCATCTGATAATGCACTTTTACACTTCAAGTTCCTTTTTTTTTAGTTATAAACTTAAATCACATATTTTCTCCAGAACATCACTAAATTTGTTGACTCCCAAACAAAAAAAAGTTCTTTATTGTGTTAATTTAATTGAAATAAAAACTTGATAGGAAGGAGAGGGAATTTTTTTTTAATTAATGAAAATCTGAATCAATTAAAAAAAAAAAACCCATGTGGCATTCAGGTGATCAAAAATCAATTAAAAAAGCAAATGTCTTTTTACTGTTACCAAATTGAAGTTGAATTATTTTTAAATTACAAATTGAAATTTAAACACAATTGCGTATATTTAAATTAAGATACTACTTAAAATTAACGTCTCATCGTATTTATTAGTGATTGCTGAACAATCAGCGAATAAGATTGCACACTAACAACTCGCAACTTATGCCTATTAAAAGTCCAGTCTACGAGATGGGGTACTATCTCTCTATCGTTCATTCTTGATGCTAGGATGATGCACTTTTCTTTCTTTTATTAAAAGAAAAACTAGTTTTTAATTTTTAAGTTAATTCAAGCACTTTTCTTTCTTTTTATAAAAGAAAAAACTAGTTTTTTAATTTTTAAGTTAATTCAATAAATTTTTGAAATTGGAATTTTACAGGTGTTTCAATTAAAAATTTTTAAACAACTAGTTTAATTTTTAAGTTTAATTCAATAAATTTTTGAAATAGGATTCTCGGGTGTTTCAATTCATAAATTTTTATCTTCTTTACAAAGAACAAGTTGTTAACGTTCTGTTTGATTACAAAACCTGGCTAAAAAACTAAAGCCCGCAACAGAAAAAAAGCATTAATTCCCTGTGGGTTGCAGAACAAGCTTCGTTCCCCTACAACAGGGGACTTTAACCAAAAACCCTAGTTGCAGCAAAGGGAACAAAAAATCCAAAACCAGAATGGAACCAGAAGATTACGAAGGAACATTAATTTTCCTGCTACTCAGCAATTTCCAGAGTCTCTATTAGAACCTCTCTCCTCCTTCGCACTATCATTCTTTACGAACACCACCACCGTCCACGGTCTCTCTTTATTTCCATTCCCGTTAAAAACCCCTAACAATACCCTAAAAGCTCCAAAACCATCTCTATTTTTCATTAGCGACCATCTTGTGTTCAATGAGTAATTTACGGAACTCTGGGCTTTCAAGCCTGTTTTTTATGCCTCCCAGTGTTACAATGAGTAATTACGGAACTCTGGCTTTCAAGCCTGTTTTTTATGCCTCCCAGGAATTTAAGCGTCAGAGGACTGTCAGATGTTCTGGTTCTCCTGATTTTTTGGATTGGAAGACCGTTGCCTTGCCTTATATGGGTCGTCAGAACTTGAATTATGGCCGGTTTGCCTACCAGGACGTTTCTAGTGATGATTCCGACCGCGAACTTGGCTCGGCATCCCAGCAGTCATTGGTTGGTTTTTATGCGTATCCATTTCTTTAATTATTTTCTATTTGTTATAATTTAGCTCTAACACTGTGATGATTTTTTATTTTTTGGAGTATGTATTGTGGCAATGAACATCAACAAGGAATTTTCATGTATGCGCTATTCAAACAGAGAATTCTTGAAACCAAAGGAAATACTTGTGATTGACTTTTTACAGCGGATAATGAATGAAACTTCTTTTAGTTTACTTTTTGAGAATAGAAACAAATTAACGAGTTTGTTTCACATGTATTTATAAAGTATTTTAACCCAAATTTGTTAGTCTTGTCCAATTTAGCAGATTGATTGAGTTTCACAAGTTTAATTTAAAACCAAGTCTAGGCAATTTCATCATTTTAATGTTAGCAATTCATAGCAGTAAACTACATTCATAAACCAGAAACTTAAAATTCTTACCTGTTTGATGGTAACTAAGTGACAGAGAATTGTAATTTGGGATACTAGTGTTTGACGATGTAATTGTTATGTTACTACATGAAAGCTATAAAACTCTCATGGATGCAACTTTCTTTTGTGTGCATTTGCATTTTTTTGGTTCTTTTCAGAGTGGTTCCACCCTTGATAACATTGATGACTGGAGATGGAAGTTAACTATGTTACTTCGTAACAAAGATGAGCAAGAAATTGTCTCGAGGGAGAAAAAGGACAGGCGTGATTTTGATCATCTTTCAGCATTGGCAACTCGAATGGGTTTGCATAGGTATCATAGTCTTTTCCAGTTTATGGTAGTCATTATATATATATATATATATATCTTAAATTCTTTTTGGAACGTGGTTGAAGACCTAGAGGTTCCTGTGACATTTTGGAATAAAATTTATCTTTGCAGTCGTCAATATTCAAAAGTTGTTGTCTTCAGTAAGGCCCCTTTGCCAAATTATAGACATGATCTGGATGACAAGCGTCCTCAGAGAGAGGTATTTATTCTCATCTTAGTTTGTGGTCCCTCCTCTCTTCAATATATTGTTAAAAGGATATTGTGGACTACACAATGAGGACCCATGGCCTTTTAAGCTAAGCGCCAGTCTATTGGATCCGTAGTCGAGAGGTCTCAAACTTGAGACTCTTTCACTCCCCACACAAGTGAGAAGACCAACCGGACCACACTTGGTTGGCATTGTTAGTTTATATTTGAACAAAGGAAATTGTCAATATGGTTGGACCATTTTATCGAAAAATTGCAATAAATATTTACTTAGATGATTAAGTAGAAGTGTTAATTATCATTCTTAAGAATTATTAACATTTGCACACAGTTCTTGAGAACTGCTTTTGCATTTCAGTTAGTGCATTGGTAACTTATTATTATGTTCATGCACTCAGGATCTCACATGAGCTTGTTAACAGTAAAATTTGATTCAAAAGCTAAAGCTTTTGTTTTTGCATGATTCTTTACTTGACCTATTGTTGCTGAAAATTGTGAGCTCATTAAAAGGGAGCTCTAACCTTAGGCTTGTTAAAATGGAGCTCTCGCCTTAGACTCGTTAGTGAGAGTCTAGACCTCAATTTAGTTGAAAATAATTCTGCTATATTGTTTTATTGAAAATGGCTCCTTAAATAGAGATTACATGGGAAGGTTACTAAATAGGAAGACTACTAAATAGAACTTTTTATTAATAGAACTTAAGAAAATTGCCGTGATTGCATCTCTAACATTACTTCCCTCCGGGAGAAAGAGCTTATCCTCAAGCTTGAAAACTGCTTTTTAAGTTGGGTATGTTGCTTGCACACAATTGTGTGCAAAGAAATTCCTTTTCCCCAAATTTATGTGATTCTAGTTTGCGGTGGTCTGCTATTTCCATATAAAATAAGTTTTTACACTAGTGCCCAATGTAATATTCCATCCATTTCTGCGCAGTTGAGTTACTTGATAAAAGGAGTGGAAACACTACAATGCTGTCAGTATTTGTGGTCAATACTCCTCCCATGTTTTTGGTCGAATGAGCTACAAAGGTGTGAATCTTTGGCTTCCCAATACGGTAGAACCAAATTTTGTGTTTCCAGCTTGCCCCAATTATTGTTTCCTTAAAAGAGCCCTTGCCCAATTCATCATAGTAACCAAATTGGGTGGATTATTGATGCAGGAGCAATCCTAGTCCTAATTGGATTCCTAGCACAATTAGCATTTTATTTAATTTACCGTTTTATTCCAGATTTGCATTAGTTTTCCGTTTCCTTATATTAGTTTTCCCACTTTTCCTTATTTGATTAAGATTTACTTATTTTATCATTTGAATAGAGAGTACGAGATTAACTTCTTTTTTTTAATTTAGATTTCTGTCTTAGTTAGATTTAATCACTAATAAATAGACAGCACTAGGCTAGTTAGGATTTATCACTATAAATAGACAGCACTAGGAGTATTGTAAATCATCATATTTTCCTCGCAATTTTTAATTCAAAGGTTATAAACCTAATTACTGATTATTGTTCCACTTACAATCAACTCTATTCTAGCTTACTTGTTGAACACTGACAACCCTACATCTTTCCCCTGCGTCAACTGGTATCAGAGCCCAAAAACAGATCCTAGGATTCTTTTTTTTTTTTGTTTTTGTCTGAATTAAGTCATGGTTGGAAGAGGCAGAGGCAGAGGCAATCAACCCCAACAAGATGAAATAGCTGAGATACGGCGAATGATTGAGGATTTGACCCGGGCTGTACAAGCCTTACAGCGTCAGGAACCCGTGGAAGCCCGAATGGAGACTCCGGAAGGCAACCCCCAAAACCGTGATTTCCAAGAAGCTCTTGAGAGTGAAGAGGAAGTCGAGGACGTAAACCCCTTTCATGAAGTTGGACCTGCAAACCCGGCAGCACGAGGCAGATTGAAAGAGCGTTTACTTTATGCTCTTGATTTAAATAGTGGAGGAGTTAAATTGAAGTTGCTGAGTTTACTCTTATGCCTCTTGATTTAAAATAGTGGAGGGAGTTAAATTGAACGTTGCTGACTTTCATGGGAAAATTGCATGCCGAAGTACTATTTGAGAATTGGGAAACTAGGTTTAAGGAAAATTATTTTGATAGAAAACCAATGGTTTGAAACGCCAAAAAAGTTGCTGTATTTGTAAAGCACTAAATTGAAGGATGTACGTGCCACTTCAAGATGGTTGGATAGTAGAGGTTGAGAGCCAAGCGGTGCACAGACAAGGAAAGCTCATAAAAATCAACACGGTGGTTGTAAAGCTTAAATTGAAGAGTACTGCACTTCAATGGTGGAAGAGAGTTGAGAAGCAGCGTGCACGACAAGGAAAGCTTAAAATCAACACGTGGGAGCGCATGAAAACTAAGCTAAGGAAGCAATTTTTACCAGCTGATTACGCAATGGAACTATATGAATGGTTCCACTGCATGAAACAAAATAGCATGTCTATTGAAGAGTACATTGCAGAATTTAATAATTTGTCCATTCGAGTTGGAATATCTAAAAATAATGAACAAATTATCTCTCGCTACCTTGCTGGTTTGAATCAGTCCCTTAGAGATGAATTGGGCATAGTTCTATTACACAATCTTGAAGATGCTCGCCAATATGCCTTAGCAGCTGAAAAGCGAGTTTCCGTTACGTTGCTAGAAGCCCCATTAACAGAAGCAATTGGCAAAACAATTTGGACCTGCAAGAGGGATTCAAACAACTCAACGAAGCGGGAAAGAAGCTGCCGCTACTAATAAATACAATGAAGAGGCAACCTATGTTGATGGGAACGATAAAGGGAAATGTATAGTACCTTATGGTGGGCAAAACAATTCTGGTTCGTCTACAAGGAGAGGCAACAATTCTCAAGTTCGTTGTTTTACTTGTGGAGAAAAGGGACATACTTCATTCATCTGTCCACAAAGGAGGTGAATTTAGCTGAGTATGATGAAGACCAGGGCCCTATTTTTGATGAATATGATGAGGAAGTAGAAGAAATTGATGTTCACCCAACTCAAGGTGAGTCTTTAGTTGTTCAAACAGTCATGAGAGCGATGAAGGAAGAAGGAAAAGAAGATTGGAGGAGGCGCCGCATTTTCCGTACATGTGTTATTTGTGAAGGCAAAATGTGTAATTTAGTCATTGATGGAGGAAGTATGGAAAATATAATATCAAAGAAGGCTGTAGATAAATTAAAGCTTCCTACAACAAAACATCCTCATCCATATAAAATAGGTTGGTTGAAGAAAGGGCACGAGATACCAGTAACATCTCAATGCTTAGTGCAATTCACAATGGGAGATGGTTTGGCAGATAAAGCACTATGTGATGTAGTACCAATGGATGTTGGGCATATTCTAGTGGGATGACCTTAGTTGTATGATCATGATATAGACCACAAGACAAGGCCTAATACTTATTCGTTCTACAAGGACAACAAGAAGTACACTTTGCATCCTCTCAAAGAAGAAACAAGGCAAATAGCAAATAAAGGACAAAGAAGATAACCAGCAGTGAAGGCATAAAGTAGCAAATAAAGGAGCCTGCACTAGTAAATTAAATGGGGCTTGGTAAGTGTTAAAAACAGAATTTGCAAGGCTGCCGATAGTGGAGGTGGAGCAGTCACGTTCCCTTAGTGAGCCAAACTGATAGGAGCTGACCCAGGTTGAAAAATCAAGTTGAATATTCCTTTGAAACAATTCAAAAATCAGTTGAATATTCCTTTGAAATTCAACGATTATTGCAGGAATTCAAGGAGTTGATTAGTGAAGATGTACCGAAAAGCTTACCATCGTTAAGAAGCATCCAACATGCTATTGATTTGTTACCAGGAGCAGCTTTACCAAATCTGCCTGCATACCGACTGCCTCCTTTACAGCGGGCTGAAATAGAAAGACAGGTTAAGGAATTATTGGAAAAAAGTCTGGTGTGTGAAAGTAAGAGTCCATGTGCCTGCCCAGCCTGATTAACTCCAAAGAAAGACGGTTCTTGGAGAATGTGTGTGGATAGTCGTGCTCTAAATAAGATTGCAATCAAATATCGCTTTCCAATACCAAGATTGGAGGATATGCATGATCAACTAGCGGGTTCTAAAGTGTTTTCCAAAATTGACTTGAAAAGTGGATATCACCGAATTAGAATGAGGCATGGTGATGAATGGAAAACAGCTTTTAAGACACCGGATGGGTTATTTGAATGCCGCACCGAGAAAGATCATTTAAAACACTTGCGACAAGTGTTAGAAGTACTTCGTCAAGAGCAGCTGCACATAAACTTGAAAAAATGCAGTTTCCTGCAACTAGAAGTGGTTTTCCTGTGATACATTGTGTCTGCTGAAGGATTAAAACCAGATCCAGAAAATGTTCGTGCAATTACCGAATGGCCAGCACCGCAATCCATCAAAGAAGTTAGAAGCTTTTATGGTTTGGCCTCTTTCTATAAGAGATTTATTCAAAATTTCAGTTCAATTATGAGTCCTATAATTGAATCTATGAAAGAAGAAAAGTTTAAGTGGACAAATTCTGCACAAAAGGCATTTGAAAGAATCAAGTTTTATGAGTCTATAATTGAAATCTAATGAAAGAAGGAAAAAGTTTTAAGTGGACAAATTCCTGCACAAAGAGGCATTTGAAGATCAAAGGGTTTTTTGAAATAACGTAGAGGCAACGCTGTTCTTGCACTTCCAGTTTTGAGAAATTATTAGTTATTGTGCCCAGATTTAGCTGTGCACTCGCACTCTCACAGTAAAGGGTATTGGACCTGTTTTCTTAGCCCAGATAGAGGGCAGATTCTCTGTTGAGTTTTTTAGTGGATGAAGTTAGTCTGATAGCTAAGAAGCGTTACTTCAAATTTGATGAAATCTAGAAGTTCTTATGCCTTCGGTAGCAGAGCTATTCGACCACTTGGCAGTGCATTACTTAGCTTATCGTGAGTTTGGTGGTTTTTGAGTTTGTGGTTTTTTCTGATCATCAGGCCTTGAGGTATCTAAAATCTCAGAATAAACTCAACAATCGACATGCTAAGTGGAGTTCTTTCCTTGATGAATTTAATTTCTCACTAAAATATAAATCCGATCAATCTAATATTGTGGTTGATGCATTGAGCAGAAGATCCCTAATTTTGTCAATTTTGAGCACTCAAATTACTGATTTTGAAGAATTGAAAAACTAGTGTAATTTAGATTCATGTTTTAGCAAGATAAAGGCTGATTTGCTGCATTCTTCAGAAGCTGAAAGTCTGCCATACCGATTGCAAGATAGTTATTTATTCAAAAGGAATAAGTTATGCATTCCTGAAGGATCTTTAAGGTTTACTCGTCGGAGCCGAGTCTTTTTCAAGCCTGGGGAGAATGATGCAGGAGCACTCCTAATCCTAATTGGATTCCTAGCACAATTAGGATTTTATTTAATTTACTGTTTTATTTCAGATTTGCATTAGTTTTCCGTTTCCTTATTTAATTAAGATTTACTATTTTATCATTGAATAGGAGTAGAGTTTTAATTCTTTCTTTAATTAGGATTCCTAGTCTAGTTAGGATTTATCACTATAAATTTAGTAGTATTGTAAATTCATTCTATTTCCTCACAATTTTTAATCAAAGTTTATAAAACCTAATTACCTGATTCTGTTCCACCTCAATCAACCCTATTTCTAGCTTACTTGTTGAAAACCCCTGACAGCTCTACATCTTTCCCCTGCGTCCAGTTATGCATTTTCCAATATCCCAACTTTATGGTTTTTTGATAAACGTGCTCGACTTGCTGGTCATTCCTAATTTGTTTCAAAGGTTATAAACCTAATTACTGATTACTGTTCCACCTACAATCAACCCTATTCTAGCTTACTTGTTGAAAACTGACAGCTCTACATCTTTCCCCTGCGTCAGTTATGCATTTCAATATCCAACTTTATGGTTTTTGATAACGTGCTCGACTTGCTGGTCATTCCTAATTGTTGTAGCCCTTGCTAAGAACACTTGGAATTGCTCTTCAACAAAATTTCTTTGTTTTAAATTGACTAATTCGCCCAAATCATTGCCCTTTAGGGGTAGACCGAAATAAAGATTGTAGTAGTTTTTAAAAACTTCCCACGAGATAGGAGGTTCTTCTTGCTCTAGTCTATTGTATGTGAAACGTTGCCAATCCTACCTTATCAGCCTCTTGTGTTTTTTGATGAGGAAAAATGGCTTAGACCTGAAGCCAACTTAATGGATCATTCAGAACCATCATAGGTAGGAAAATCCAATTTGGTGTATCGCGGAACTGTCATGGCACCAGCCCGTGTCTCGGACCTTCGCTCAACTCCGCTATTTCTTGTGTCGAATTGCTGCTTGCCTCCTTGGCTCTCTCTCCCTCTCTCTCTCTCTCTCTCTCTCTCTCTCTCAATTTCTGTTTGATCAGATAAGGAGTTCCTGCATTTGTCAAGTCAGATTCTGCCAAGATTCAACTTGGTCCACTCGAGCTTCATCTGCATCATTAGTTCTTGTAGAAGAGATTTGATCTCTTTGATTGAATCTCTCATGAGGCTTGACTTTAATACCAAGTTGTTATGTTCATGCAATCAGGATCTGGCCACAGGCTTGTTAATAATTAACAACAAAAATCTATTTAAAAGCTAAAAGCTTTTGTTTTACCATGATATTTCCTCGATCTATTGTTATTGAAAATTGTAAGCTCTTTAAAACGGAGATCTAACCTTAGGCTCGTTAAATGGGAGCTCTAACCTTAGACTCGTTAGAGAGAGTCTAGATTTCAATTTAGTTGAAAATAATTCTGCTGTAGTTTTATTCAAAATTGCTCCTTAATAGGAACACATATTGAAGGCTTCTATTAAAATAGGAAGACTACGAAATAAGACTACTAAATAAAACTTCTTACTAATAATAAAGCTTCTAAATTAAGAAAATTGCCGTAATTGCATCTCTAACTGCTGTAATTGCATCTCTAACGCTTATGCTCACGTGCATCTACAGGTAATTTTGCCTTTTGGATTGCAGAGAGAATTGGATGCCCATCTCAATGCTTACCTTTCCAAAAGTTCCAAGAACAGGGGAAACATTTCTGGTAATTCCTTGACAAGATCAAATAGTGGGGTAAGTACGTCTACTGCTGAAGGACTGAATGAGCAGGCAGATACCTTGATACGGAACAATGTTGTGATGGGGAAAATTCTCCAGCGTCAAAGTTTGCAACTACTAAATAAGCAAAAAGAATGGCAGGTACATTGTACCTTCACAAGTTTTGAGTTTCAGTACTTTCAGAATGTTATTGACTGGTAAAAGTCGTATGATATGTCAGCTGTTCAATTTTACAATTAGTACATTTTTCCCAGTAGGAGTTCGTAGTAATTAAATTCTTTTTATATGCTGGTTTTTACTTATCATTTATTGTATCTTTTAAATACTATCATGCTCAATAATAGTTCTTCTATAGGAATCTCGTGAGGGTCAAAAGATGGCTGAATTTCGTCGAAGTCTTCCTGCATATAAAGAAAGGGATGCCTTACTAAAAGCCATTTCTGAAAATCAGGTAATTTTATTGTCATACTGGATTTTTCTTCATTTCCTCACCGTTGCTTTTTAATTTATAGCTTTAGAATTGCTTGGAACTTCCTCATATAGTTTTGAGGAAAGCATCTTGGGTGGTTCAACCAATGACGGTTATGAATTTGTTTCTCGGGGATCTTCTATTTATTTATCTATTACACTGTCTTTTGCACGAATATCACTTTGGCTGAAACTAATTTTGAGGATGCTGCATCATTTAAACCCCAGAATTATTATGAAAGCATAAAACAAGTTGCGACTTGCGAGGGAGTTTTATTTCCAAAGTGAATTGCAACACTGGGACTAAAGTGTCCCAAGAAATGATTCTCTTTATGCCCAAAAGAAATGGAGGGGTTGGAATTGGGATTGGGGGTTGGGAGACATAGCGAGCTGGTGATTAGAGAGAAATATCTGGTTTTTGCTTTAAGTTGCACATCAACCTAGCTTTCAAGTTAAGTAGGGATTGTGTCATTAAAAGAATGTCCGATATGGAGTTTTGGACCGCTCTACTTTATCAAAGGTTCTATGATAAAGAATTTCCAATATGGCATTTTGGATTGCTCTGCTTCATCAAATCAAGGTTGTTTGGTTTGTAGCCAATCATAAGTGCCTATTAAGTTAAGCGGAGACATATTCCAGGTTAACTCATTACATTTCTTGCCTACACACTGGCACACATAGTTTTGCATTTTAATGTTTTTGTAAAGGTTGGAATAGGTCCATGAGATAGAGGGAGGGAGAAATTTTCAGGGTCTTCTCATGCTGAGATTATTTCATGCTGGTTAACATATTGGACTACTTGGCGGGTAGAGTGTAGACACATATTTAATCATACTGCTCATTCGCAGAGTGGATTGGCTGCATTGGCATAAATCATGCTTGTGATGAATGTATGTACTTGACAGATAATTATGATTATGACACAATATGGTTTTTTATCAATAAATGGTAAAAAGTAAAAAGGACTGCTACATGATGCAGGTGGTTGTTGTCTCGGGTGAAACTGGTTGTGGTAAAACCACACAACTCCCACAATATATACTAGAATCTGAGATTGAAGCTGCTCGTGGTGCTGCATGTAGTATTATATGTACGCAGCCTAGAAGAATATCTGCAATGTCTGTTTCTGAAAGAGTTGCTGCAGAACGAGGGGAGAAACTGGGAGAATCAGTTAGTTTCTGCCTTATACACAATGGCACTTTCTCTTGAAACATTGTCTCATAAATCATTTTTTGACTTTATTGTTTTCTTTTCCTTCTAAAAGGTTGGTTATAAAGTCCGGCTAGAAGGAATGAAGGGGAGGGACACTCGCCTTCTATTTTGCACTACTGGCATATTATTGAGGAGATTACTTGTTGACGGAAATTTAAGTGGTGTAACTCATGTCATTGTTGATGAGATTCATGAACGAGGAATGAATGAAGGTGCAATTGGAATTCATTTGAGTTAATTAACGGTGAATATTGTGGATACTTAAATTATGGCGTATTTATTTGCCAGATTTCCTTCTTATTGTCCTGAGAGATCTCCTTCCTCGTCGACCAGAGTTGAGGTTGATTCTGATGAGTGCAACCTTAAATGCTGAGCTTTTCTCTTCTTACTTTGGTGGTGCTCCAACGCTTCATATTCCTGTGAGTATCATGATGCTAGTTTCTGTTTCCTACAAGTATTGATAACCCATCCAGCGATTATTGCAATACAGTTTTGATGATAAATTATATGGTTTAGACCAATTTCAGCTACTGCATTAACCAATTAGTTGATTTTAACAGTCATTAATATCATACTGCTTTTGCTAGAGCATTACCCCATTCTCTGTCTTTTCTGCTGTATATTTTCCCTGCTTTTCCTTTTGTTGCTAAAGCACACCCCAGTAATATACTTTATCAGCAGAATATGTGAAACTGTTACAATAAAATTGAAACCATAATTGCCATTGATTTAATAACTATAAATATGAGCATTTGACTTGAAAATAACTCTACAGTTAATGTTCTCCTAAGCTTTAAAAAGGACTCTTAATAGCAGCATTTATCTGCTAGAGCTTGTAGAAGTATTTGGTCTTTGGATTCCTTTGGAAAATTCTTTTAAATCCTTTCTACCTCACCTTATATGTCCTTCCCAAGACTATTTATTTCAATCATTCGTTAAAATTTGGACAGCAAAATTACCACTTGAGGTAAGAGCTTTTGTTTGGACTTCAGTTCTCCAAAAGGTGAATGCTGTGGCTCTTTTGTGGAAAAATTATCTTAATAAGGCTTTATCTTTTGATATGTTATGTGTAATGATTGTGGACTCATTTTTCACTTGTTTCTACATTGTGAAGAGGCTTGGCGATTTGCAATTGTTTTCTTAGTGTTCTGTACTGTGGGTGTGTCTAGAATCTCTAGAGGCTTTTCTTGGTATAATGTGGAGAAATTTTGGTGGTGGAAAAGATGCCAAAGTAATTTTGAATTATGCTTTTTTGCATTCTTATTTTAATTGAGGGATTCTTATCTTTGGAAAAACAGACTACATCCTTAATCCTTTAGTTTGTTGTCGACAAAGTGATATTTTTGGCTTCTACACTGGCTTATTCTTCCAGAGCATTTAGAGGCATTTCTTTGAGTGTTGATTGAAGGGCATAATTTTTTAGCTTGTACTCTTGTTGTTTAGTTGTCTTTTGAGTTATATGGTTGGATTTCCTTGTTCTCAGCATACACCCATTTCTTTCTTTCTCTCTCAATAATGTTTCTTTCCCCCCTAAAAAAAAAAAAAAAAGAAAAAAACTTGACTCTTGAGAATTTGTTTCCTTCTTCTAGTTGTGCTTATTTTCTGACAGGACAAACTTTCTTTCCTACTAGGACTATTAAACAATGCAAATTTTGATCTTCAGGTTGAAAAATGATTTATGATAAATGTGCCAGTCTTTTGCTTTTTAGTCCATCTCAATGTGAAATATGTGCACGCTTTCAAAGTGGCTTTGCGTGAAATAGATGAGGTGTCGATTACCCATCTTTGATCTTCTATTTCAGAAGTGTCCATGACAGTGTTGGAATTGTTTAAGCATCTTATTCTGATTTGGTTACAAATTACAAACTCTGAGTTTATAGAGTTCCCTTCTTTTAGCTTTAATTTCGTAACACGATAGTGAAGGATCCTCTTACTTTCTAGAGATGAGTTCCTCTTCTTAAAATTTTAACCCTCTTTTGGGCCTTTGTTTTATTTACTTTAAATATATGAGCTTTTGGTTCATCAGGTAATTTGTTAAACTTACCAGCAAGAATATCTTGGTTGTGCTTAATTTTCATCGTTTTGTTTTTTGGCTCTTGTAATTCTGTGTTTTTAGTTTGGTTTAAATCTGATTCTTGCCTTTCAAGAATGTGTTCATTGTTTCCAAAGTAGAAAGACATGTGAAAGCCTAGCAGATCAAAGTTATCTTTGTCTTGGTTGCTGTTAGCGGTGATTTTTGTATTTTCAGGGTTTTACTTATCCAGTGAGAGCACATTTCTTAGAGGATATTTTGGAAAGGACTGGATACCGGTTGACTCCATATAACCAAATTGATGATTATGGTCAAGAAAAGGCTTGGAAAATGCAAAAACAAGGTCAAGCCTTCAGAAAGAGGAAGAGCCAGATTGCTTCTTCTGTTGAGGTATGACACAAGCTTTAGTTCTTGTTGCATGATTTCATTTTGCTTTGCCTTCTTACCTTCAGCTTTTTGACAGGATGCACTTGAAGCTGCTAACTTTAATGGCTATAGCCTACGTACCCAGGAGTCTTTGAACTCTTGGAATCCTGACTCTATTGGTTTTAACCTCATTGAGCATGTGCTTTGTCACATAGTAAAGAAAGAGAGGCCTGGTGCTGTCTTAGTTTTTATGACTGGTTGGGATGACATTAATTCTTTGAAGGATCAGCTACAAACTCATCCCATCTTGGGTGATCCCAGCAAAGTATTGCTGCTTGCATGCCATGGTTCTATGGCCAGCACTGAGCAGGTAATTTCACCATTTACTTCTTGTTGATATTTTCATTTTATAAAGAAGTAATGACTAAGCTTAACCCAAGTTTGTTACATTTTCTTCTTGTTGTTGTTGTTTGTGTAGATTTAATGTGGGAAAATATTTTTCTGTATTTGATTCATCAATTGGGACACATATATATACACATACAAGATACTATAAACCTATTAAAATATTTTTTCTGTATTTGATTCATCAATTGGGACACATATATATTACAACATACAAGATACTATAAACCTATTAAGAAATCTAAAACTCCTAAATAGAGTTCTTATTTTACAACTCCTAATAGAGTTTCTATTTACAAACTAATCCTTTAACACCTCCCCCTCAAAGTTGGAGCATAGATATTAATCATGCCTAACTTGTTTACAAAGATAGTCAACCGGGGTCCGTTTTTAGAGCTTTGTTACAAGATTAATCCCCCTAACTGTTCACTTGGTTTTAACGTTGTCCTGTAGAAGATAAACACCTGGTTGTATCTTTTCAACGAATGAAATGACAATCAATCTCGATATGTTTTTGTTTCGTTTTCATGAATACTGGATTTTGATGGCAAATGTGAAGAGCAGTTGATATCCACACCATAACTTTGCAGCAGGATGACTTTTGAAAGCCAATTTCCTTCTTAACAACTGACGAATTCCAACATTAATTCACAAGCAGATTGTGCCAATAGCTCGATATTCTGATTCAGCACTCGGATCGTGAGACTTTTACCATTTTGTTTCTTTGCCTCCTCCATTGATATTCAAGTTTCCACCTACAAAGACACAATATCCTGAAAGTTTGATCTTCTATCAACTTCGAAACCCTTGCCCAATCCGCATCTGAAAAACATTACAATGTATTCATGACCTATGATTACGGTAAAGCAGGCACGACGCTGGATTACCTTTCAAGTAGCACAAAAATCTTGTCCCAAAAGCTCCCAATGGATAACAGTAGGAGAAGACATAAACATGGCTCAGACGGCTCACAGAGTAAGCAATATCTGGACATGTTAGGTAAAGATAATTTCAATTTGCCCACTAACCTTCTATACATTCTCAGGAATCATTAAATAAGGCTCACGCACCAATTGAAAGTTGCATATTTTGGAGTCATTGGAGCCACTGCATGGCTTGGCCACCCAAACTTTCCGGTTTTCCTTCAGGTAAGTCAAGGACATACTTCCTTGAGATAAGAAAGATTGGCCTCTCTTTACCATAGATACTGCAATACCCAAAAAATACTTCAACAAGCCTAAGTCTTTTGTCTGGGAAACTGGGTCTGTAGAAAATGATTGAGTGATGTTAATGCCGGCCTGGAATCACTCCTTGTAATAACAAATGTCATTCAACATAAAACCCAACAGTAGATTTCAAACCCATCTTAGGTTACTTCTGAAAAATACAGAATGATCAGAAGTTACTCTTCTGCATGCCAAATTGGATGTACCACATTGCAAAATCTTACCAAACCAAGCTCGAGGACTTCTGGTTTTAGGCCATAAAGAGATTTCAAAGTTTACACACTTTACCCACTCCCCCTAGCAACCCGACTCCCCCTGAGCAACAAAGCCTGGTGGTTGCTCCATGTAAACTTCCTCCTGAAGATCCCCATGAAGAAAGGCATTCTTAACGTCTAGCTGATCCAAAGGCCAGTCAAAAGTAGCTGCTAGTGAAATAAATAAACGAACAGAAGACAATTTGGCAACAGGAGAAAAAGTATCAGAATAATCTAGGCTATAGATCTGAGAATAACCCTTTGCAACTAATCAAGCTTTGAGACGAGCAACAGTCCCATCAGGATTCACTTTAACGGTGAAAATCCACTTACAACCAATAGCTTTCTTACCTGCCAGAAGAGGCACAAGATCCCAAGTACCATTAGTATCTAAGGCAGCCATCTCCTCTTTCATTGCTGCACACCAACCAGGATGGGACAAAGCTTGGACAACAGAAAACAGTTTTAGGAAAACAGTTTTAGGAATAGAGACAGAGTCTAAGTTACTTACAAAACAACGAGATGAAGAAGAAAGATGATCATAACTAACAAAAGAGGAAATAGGGTAGGTACATTTGCGTTTACCTTTTCTAAGAGAAATGGGAAGGTCAAAGTCTGACTGGGGAGTGCATGGCACAGGCTCAGGTTGAGTGGAGAGAACCGGATCTTCTGGTGAAACGGCAGGTGGAGGAAGTGAGTCAAGAGTTCCTGGTCTCCTGGAATAAACCTGTTCAAAACGAGGGCGTGTAGATGCTGGTGCAGGAGCGGGAATAGGAGACAGCAGGACACTTGGAGTAGAGGCAGGAGCGTAAGGTCAGGAATACGAGCAGGAGCAGGAGAGTTATGAACTTGCTGGATGCATAGACTAAAAGGTCATTTCATTCCTCCCTCTCACTCTTATATATAGGAACAAGGAAAAAAATAGAGTATTCTCAAAAATGTTGACATCTGCAAGAAATAAGATAACGGTTCAAGATCGGAGAGAAACACGATACCCTTTTTGATGCCGAGAATACCCAAGGGAAAACACAACGAAGGGATTTGGATCTTAATTTGGGAAACCTTGTGGACAACATCACGAACAAAACACAGTACAAACCAAAAACGAGGTTCAATGGGGGAATAGAAGTAGAAGGAACACAAAGAACATTATAAGGGAATTGCACCTTAAGCACAGAAGAAGGCATGCGATTAATAAAAAAACATGCAGTAGAGACAGCATCAGCCCAAAAAATGTTTAGGAACTTTCATTTGGAATTAAAGTGCCCAGCAACTTCAAGAAGATTGTCGATTCTTTCTTTTTCTGCAACCCCATTTGAGGGAAAGGAGTATCAACACAAAGATGTTTGAATGGAAGGAATACCATTTTGTTGAACATATTTAAGATTTGGAAGGAACTAGATAGGTATTCTTTAGCATTATCACTGTGCAATATGCGAACAGAAGTATTAAATTGAGTTTTTAATTCCCAGCACAAAAAGAACAGGAAAAATAGAGAATATTCTCAGAACGAGTTTTTCATAAAAAATAACCAAGTAACACGGAGAATAATTCATCCACAAAAGTTACAAAATACCGAAAGCCAGTTTTAGAAAATAACAGGCACATGGACCCCAAACCATCAAAATGAACTAACTCAAAAGGTATGAAACCCGTTTATTGACTCGAGGAACTAAAGGGTAAACGATGATGTTTGGCAAACTTGACAAGATTCACATTCTAAACTTGATAAAGACTGAAACTGCGACACAACTTTCTTTAAAGTAGACAATGATGGATGACCCAAAACGACAATGAACCTCAAGAGGAGATAGAAAGCACCAGCACAAGCCAGATTGATATGGAAACGTGTTCATCCAGAAGATAAAGGCCACCAGACTCACGTTCCTCTACCAATAATCCGCGTTCTGTCAAAAGATCCTGAAAACACACAATATGCTTAGGATAAAAAATTTGACACAACAATTCAGCATTACGGGAGTAATTTTTGCTAACAGATAAATAGATAAACGAAAAACTATGCAAACAAAAAACAGGGAAAGACAATGGAAGAGATGGGAATGGATTGGCAGTGCCAATACATTTTGACAGGAAGATGTAGACCCATCAGCTAGCAGTGATGTGGACCCATCAGCTAGAGTAACATGATGATTAAATTGTTCAGGTTCTTTTACTGAGGATAAGAGACTAGGGTTACCTGTCATATGATCTGTGCAACTAGAATCAATGACCCACTCGGATGAGGTAGACATAAGACATGTAGTAGGAGTACCTGAATTGGCAGCAGCAGCAATTAAGGAATCAGTAGACTTAGAAGAACGGTATCTAGAGAGCTCAGCATACTCCGCAGCAGAAATTGTTACAGTGTTCTCAGAATAAGTAATTGCAGAATCTTGAGTAGCCATATTTACCCTTGGGGGCTTATTTATCAGTTTCTTACAATACCGTTAGTGTGACCAGGTTCATGGCAATAACGGCAGATAAGAATGCTTGCCTCCCGATTAATTGGTCCATTACTATGGTTATTTCCTCCTCTTCCTCTGTTTCCTAGCTGTCTAACGATCTGATTACGACTCACAAGGGCACCATTATCATAAGGGGAAGGGGTATGAGAACCTTCAGTACGTAGTAATCTAGCGAAAGCCTCCTGAAGAGAGGTAACGTCACTACTTGAAAGAACCTGTGATTTGGCATCTTGACAGTTTCAAAAACTGGGAGCAGACCTGCAAGAAAAACTTCATTACAGCCATTTGTTCTCGCTGCGTTTTGTTGAACCTTAACATCGGGAACTAAAAGCAATATAAACATAAGTTCCTCGTAATTTCTTTTTTAAATTCCATGAAATAAAGCTGTTCAAGGGTCATATCTCGCTGGTTAGCCCGATAAAATCCTTTTGCAGGACCGTCATACATACGAGACAGATTACCTTTTTCCCGAATACAAGAATCCAAGACTTATTCCATTAATTCTTTAACAAAAACTCACAATGATTTGATTAAAATCAACCACTTTCACTGTTCAATAGAATGCGAATCAGTAGGAATAACTTAGCATTTCTTCCCTGGAGGCCAACGTTTGCCTAGTGTCATCAGTTGGGGATCATCAATTAAATGATCATCTTTTTCAACGCTTCGGCAAATTTAAACTCGAATTGTCTTATCCAATCTAAATAATTAGTTCCTTTTCAATTTATCTGTTCTGTGATCTTATTTCATTGCTGGGATTAATTCAGTAATAGTAGTTTTAGAATCTGTAGTTGGAGATCCATTATTAAACAAACTTAAACACCCCTACCAGCAAACCCAGGGAAGAGATCCAAAAAAAAAAATAGCCTTCAAGCCTTTCAAAAGCAAACAGGAGCAAACAGTAACCTGAAAACGCCAAATTGACAAAAACTGAGAACGCCCCTACCAAAACTTCGCCGGATCGGAAAAAACAACCACCTGAGTAGATTGCTGAAGTTGAAACGAAGCCAGAGAACTATTTCCGATCGCCGGAAATAGCCGGACGCGCCGGCGCGTGGTACTGCAGCAGAAACACAAAAGCGGTGCGTGGGGCCCACGCGCAGGGAATCCGGTGACCGGATTTGGAGGGAACGCCGATCGGCAGCTTGGGGAACCTTCTGAGGTAGGTGGTGAGACAAAACGGTGACCCTAGAACTGTCACCGAGACCGACAGCCGCTGGAATTTCAACGCAAACGGAAAAAAAAATTTCCAACGCAAACGGAAAAAAAGGTTTACACGAGCCAAAGGCTCCTGATACCATGATTAGGATTTTAATGTTGGGAAACTATTTTTTCTGGTATTTATTCATCAAAGGTTTAACGAGCCAAAGGCTCTGATACCATGTAGATTTAATGTGGGAAAATATTTTTCTGTATTTGATTCATCAATTGGGACACATATATATATACATACAAGATACTATAAACCTATTAAGAATCTAACTCCTAATAGAGTTCTATTTACAACTCCTAATAGCGTTCTATTTACAACTAATCCTTAACAGTTTGTTTGTTTGTTTTGTTTGTTTTGTTTGTTTATGCATTAATTGTTTTACTTGTTTGGTTTTCAGTGTTCTTAAAATTATTATTATTTTTTTTTTACTTAAGTTATTCGAAGGATTTAACATGTCTATATAATGATTGTATTTCTGTGGTCGTTTTCCCTGTCCTTATTCAGAGATTAATATTTGATAAGCCTGAAGATGGAGTGCGAAAAATTGTTCTGGCTACTAACATGGCTGAGACTAGTATTACCATCAATGATGTGGTCTTTGTTGTTGACTGCGGGAAGGCAAAAGAAACATCATATGATGCACTAAACAACACTCCTTGTTTGCTTCCATCATGGATCTCAAAGGCAGCAGCTAGGCAAGTAAGTCCTCCTGTCATGAAAGAGACATCTCTATTGTGAGATTTTGTTTCTTAAAAAGTCTAACTCTTAATTTCTCTAAGTAGTTGTGAATAGAGCATGCTTTAATGATTATCAATTGTTGAGTTTTCTATGCATATCTCACAGTTTGTTATTGCGCCTATCTGATGTATGACAATTAGCACTTAGCAAGTTAGGATACTAGGACTTGTTTTGCATTTATTTTAGAACTAGAAAGACTAGTTCACACGAATTAGATTTCTAGGTGGTGATTGCTGTACAGGTTTCACACTATTGAACGGTACAGGTGCTAGTATTCTGGAAGAAGTTTTTGAAGAAATTGCTATTTGGTTAGAGATTGATGGAAGGAATTTAGTACTGAATTATGCATAATCATGCAGGTGTTAAGTAATTGTTCCCTCTAAGTTCTGTGCTTGTTTGTCTGCTTGTTTCATTAATGATCATGTGGGTGCTTATGTGATGCAGATATTGAATGAGAGTTTACTGGTTACCATACATTTGTTTGACAGTTGTCATCAAGCATTCAGCTCATGCACCTTGATATGTGCAAACAAACATATTGGGTGAATGGTTCTTTAAATTGTGATTCAGGCTCTTTTAAGCAGTCTGCGGTGCAAAAAGGGAATGCATGAATTTGGTTGAGCTTGGATTGAATGCATATAGGAAAGGAGTTGAATGTACATTTGTCAGATTTTTATTAGGGTTTGATCTAAGGTTAACCTTAAGTGCGATTGCTCTGGTACATGGAATGGAAATGAGAATGTGAAATTTCTGTCTAAACATGTAGTGTGATGCCTCTTTTTAGATTTTTGGATTGCTAGGTAGGAATTTGATATGTAATAACATCTATGCAAGATCTCATATACTGAATTATAGATAGTAAGAACAACTGCAAAGATTTGATAAGATCAATTAACAACTAATTCTATACTACAAAATAAAGGGGAAAATACAAAAAACTATCATGTCATTTGCAATTCTATTAATAGGGGTTTGTTGTTTTTATAGACACGTAGGTCCCTGTGGTTTGCTTCAATAGACGCTCAATTGCCAACTGCACTAACACCATTTGTGTTTGATGATATTATATATTAATATCAATTAAAAATATTTTTGCGGATGTAGAGAAATTTCTTTTATAATTTGGGATGGGGATTTAAGATTTTCGGATTAAATGAAATTTATAAAAATTATTTTGCTTTTCTTTTATGAAAAGTATTTTTCATTTTAGTAATTAGTTAAAATGTTTATTTTTAATTGAGCTAGCTCCATAGTACCTAGTGGAATTCTATGTTAGCCAAATATATTTTCTAGATTAATATTTCATGCCACAAAATTAAATTCTGTTGTTTGCTTTGTTAGATACTTAAGTATTCTAGATGTACTAACACCGTTAGCGTTTGATAATATGGGATAAGAAATTAATTGAAAGATATCTTTTGGTATCATGGAATAACTCTCGGCATTACAGGAACCATTAGAGAGAGCAACCCAGTGCATGAAACATTCTACATGTGTGAGCTCTAGGGAGGGTTTATATTTTCAGCCTTTCCCCTATTTCTTAGTAGACAGGCTGTTCATGTGGCTCAAACTCATGACCTCCAGGTCACAAGTGAAGTAACTTTACCGTTACACCAAAGCTACCCTCTCATTATAGGACCCACTATTTGGTTAAAATTGACATTTTAATTAATTAGCAAAATGAAAAATATTACAAAAAAGGTTTTTGACTTATTCTTTTTTTAAAAACCCCCAAAACCCCAAGTCCCTGCTCCAAAATATAATGACAATGTTCTAATGTCAGGAAAATTATTTTTAACTGATTTTATAATACTAAATGGTGCTAGTGTATTTGGCACTTACAAGTATAATGGAGCAAACTAGAAGGACTTAACTTAAAAGTATTATGGAGAAAACTACAAGGACTTACTTACAACTATAATGGAGAAAATTATAAGGGCTTAAGTATCTGAAAAAAAAAAAAAAATCAAAGTCCCCTTTTAATAAAAGTGTTAAACCACAAGGCAATTGTTTTGTACTTTCCCCTAAAATAAATCTCAAATCCAGAAATTTCTGCATAATGATGATTCTCTTCCCATATTGATTCTAGACTGTTAAACCTCAAGGTAATTTTTTTGTACTTCCCCTAAAATAAATCTCAATTCCAGAAATTTCTGCATAATGATGATTCTCTTCCCATATTGATTCTAGACTGTTAAACCTCAAGGTAATTTTTTTGTACTTCCCCTAAAATAAATCTCAATTCCAGAAATTTCTGCATAATGATGATTCTCCATGGTTGATGTTCTAGGACCTGTTTGCTATCTCTCCCAGTATGTTTGGTTTGCACCTTTTGGAATGCCTAATTTGAAGTGTTCCAAATCGCAACGTTCCATGTTCTGGATCATGTGGATGCAGAGTGGTACAACGATTCATTTGGTTTGTGGCTGTGTATATATATACAAGCCAAGACAGCTCGCACTTCGTCGGGCAGCTTCCTATTATAGTTTTATTTTATTTGCTGAGAAAATGTAAATAATAAAATTGTAGAATAATTATAGATAAAAACTTTTATAATGTGTTTTGGATGCGCAAAAAATCTAATCTTAACATGATAGTTGTTGATATTTTGTATATTTAATTTTGTAAATTTTATGTTGTTTTAGATATTTGTGCTTTTCGAAATTTTTTATAATTCTTTTATTGCTAACGAAAAATTAAGACTTCGTTAAAGATTTATTTATTTTCACCCTGTTTTTCCATTATAGATAAAAGTTATCTTTTTATATATTTTGAACTTTTGAGAGTGTGAGACGTGGGCAGTAGGAGGATTTTTTAACTATTAAGTAATAATGTTTTAAATAATTTATGAATCTTGCCTCTCATGATTTCTCATAAATTTTATACTGTTCATTTAAAAGAAGTCCTTAAAAGTGAATAGAATTTAAATAAATTCTAGTTGGTCAGTTTTAAAGTCCTAAAATGAATTGTTTAATTGCGTTAAGGTATAATTATCACGTGTTCCAAACATGGGTAAAAGAAGGGTTAAAGATAATAAGCAATGTCGAATTGATATGACTTAGTACCTGAGTAATATAGTTTGGAGAATATATATTGAGAACCACTAATTGAATTGCGATAAGTGAATCTGGATAACCTTCTAAAAGTTAAGATATTAAAAAAATTATAATATAGTATATCGCATCCATAATTGAAGTTGAATGAGTCAATTTAGGTATACACTTATATCTTTAGATGTCAATGGAACAAAAATTCAAGAGATGGAGAATACACATAATTTATTAATATATTTATGGAAATAAATGTTTGTAGTGTCTTGAAAAGTGTTTTGAATTTGAATTGATATTTAGTTTGGTAAAGCGATTGTGAATTACAGAATCCTATTCATTTTGTATGTAATTTTTTAAAAGTTTAGTTCTGATCTTAGATTGTAATCTTACTTGTTCTTCTACTAATTGCATTCTTTGTGAATTTTAATAGGGAATTTTATTTAACAATTTAATATGTGTATTCAAGAAACCTTTTAAGAATGAGAACATGGAGAAAGGAAGGTTGGAGAAATCAAAGAGAGAGGACCCTTTTGATAACTTTTAAATTAGTATAAAATGATTTGTGGTGAAATTGAAGGTAAGACCTATTATCCATATGTATAATATTGATAAGAAGTGGAAAAAATTAGGAGGATGAAGAAAGGAATATGTTTTATGGATAAAATTATCAAATAGTATTCTTTAGTTAATAAAACTAATCAGTTTTAACTATACACATAAAAATGTCACAGATTAAAAACTTTGTAGTTGTTTAGGTCCATCAACTTAAAAAATAAAATAAAATTATTATCCTAGTAACTGCTGTTATAAACTGAATTTTAATGTTCTAGTGTATGACATATTATATGAAAAAAGTCCAAACTAAGAGATTTTATTTTTCAAATTACTATTGTGGTTGTGAGTAATATTTTTTGGCTGAAAGGACTTTTTCATGCTGGCAGCTTGCTGTGTTGTTTTGACTCAGAAAACAATGAATTTGTATAACAAGTCAGGGCATTTATGGTTTATTATAGAAAAATCAAAACACTCATGGCTATTTTGGTCATGTATAGGAAAAATCAAAATCAAGTGTTTCTTATGAATAGTGTTGGAGCTTGAAAGGACCATTTTTAATCCATTGGCAGGCTGGCTGCTTTTTGGTCAGACGGATAGAAAACCATCCAACGGTGTTAACAAATTCTGGGCATATTTAGTCATTAAATAGGAAGCCAAAATCACTGTTTGAACAGGTGGGTTTTTGGTTCCGTTTAAGTAAATCTATATAACTGTTGAGCACATAATACAGCAAATGATTTGAGAACTGGACTAGAACATGCCCTTCCCGATGGGCAGATTTAGGCACGGGGGGCAATATGGGCACTTCTCCATTGCCTTCATGAAGTGCTTTTTTGAAAATTTAGGTTAAATCGTCATTAGTTTGAACTTAATATTAATTATGTTTTTTCCCCGGCTGTAAATATTTTTATTCGCCCCGTGGCGGTAATTGTTTTTTCGCCTATGATGGACTAATTTTTAGTTTGATAATATTTATTTTATGTATGGTTAGGTCAAGTAATGTAATTTGAAATCAACAAAACTTATTATTTTAACAGTTTTAATCCACTTAACTTTTTGTCTGATGACATGTCTAATTTGTTTTGGGTTGTTTCTTAACTTTTCGTGAATAATTTCCTTCAAACAAGAGAATATTCTAAATTGATCTTTAAATGTTTGTTGGTATGTTTATTAACTCTCATGCTGTTTACACTTACATTTAACTGTGTTATTCTTATATTTTATTGCATATGTGCGGTACCTGCACGAACGCGCCCTTCCCCATGTGTGTGGATTTTGCCCCACTAATACAAATGTTCTGGATCTGCCCCCCTTCTCTGAAGGGTTGCTTCGATAACCATAAAATAGTGTTGAAGA